GGAGGGGAAGGAAAGGGAGGGGAGGGGAGGGAGGAGAGGGGAGGGGAGGAGAGGAGAGGAGAAGAGAAGAGGGGAGGGGAGGGGAGAGAAGGGAAGGGAAAAGAAGATAAAGAATTAAACTTCTTTGTGATATGGGCACACATCTCCATTAGAAGTAGGAGCTATATATTGGATACACAAGGACACAAAAGACGGGAACAGTAGGCACTGGGGATTCCACAAGGTGGGGAAGGGAATGGGGGACACGAGGGTGGAAAAACTACCTATTGTCTACTCTATTCACCGCTTGGGCCGCAGGATCATTGAAGGACCAAACCTCAGCCTTACTCAATATACTCATGTAACAAACCTGCACAGGTATGCCATGAATCTAAAATAAGAGAAAAATTTATTTGTGATATATAAAGAGCTCGTCTAGACACCTAGAGAACCCAACAATGATCCCAAAAGACACACAAACAAAAACAATGGGCAGGATTTTTCACACACACACAAAGGAAATATACCAGATAATAACATATAAGGAAGCATCTAATATAGTTTAGCTCTGTGTCCCCACCCAAATCTCATCTTGAACTGCACTCCCATAATTCCCACATGTTGTGGGAGGAACCCAGTGGGAGATAATTGGAATCATGGGGGTGGTTTCCCCCATACTATTTTCATGGTAGTGAGTAAGTCTCACAAGTGAAGAGATCTCATCAGGGGTTTCCGATTTTGCTTCTTCCTCATTTTTCTCCTGCTACTGCCATGTAAGCAGTGCCTTTCACCTCCTGCCATGATTCTGAGGCCTCCCCAGCCATGGGCAATTCTAAGTCCATTTAAACCTCTTTTTCTTCCCAGTCTTGGGTATGTCTTTATCAGCAGTGTGAAAATGGACTAATACCGCATCCAACCTCAATAATTAAAAAAGCTAACCCAAAACAATAGGACACCATTTTAGTTTATCAAATTACCAAAGATTTTTGTTAAACAATACATTTCCCTCGAGGCTGGAAAGGGTGGCATGCAAAGGAGCCACCCATGTGTTGCTGGAAGAAGCAGCTGGAACAACCTCTTTGAAGTATACTTTGGAATTCTCTTATCCCAGCCGTGGGATGGAGTTACCACACTGTGATTCGTGGGAGTGTGGGCTTTGGAGTCACGCAGGCCTGAACGTGCCTGTGGCTAGTAACATAACATATTTCAGCCTCAGGTTCCTCATCTGTAAAATGGGACTCATGATACATATTTTCAGGATGCTGTGAGGACTACGCAAACCTAAGTCAGAGCACTCAGAGGCACCCGTGGCACGGGCTGGGACAGGAGCTGGTGGTGCAAAGCAGCAGAGCTGGCAGAGAACCCACTTCCACGGTGGCTGCAGCAAACCTAACGGCTGTGGCTGTGGCTGTGGTGGCCTCACCGGACTGGTCGTGTGTACTGCTGACCTCCCTTCCTTCCTGCTGATTCTCAAGCCATTTCCCAGCCTTTTTAGCATTTCTCTGTGTTACTCACAATGCTTTCAATTCATTCCTTTGTTGCCTAGATCACACTTTCCATGGCTTGCCACTAAGAGCCCTGAATATACAGATCACGAATTATGGGTGGAGAGGCAGAACCTATAGCTGGGCTACCATGTCTAAGGAGATTGATCTTTACCCTTTTGTGGCCCCTTGGTACTAGGCAGTAAGCTAAGGATGCCAAAGACCAGTCAGGGTAAGTATCATTCTATTTTCTAAATACCTTTGTTTTTCTAAATGCATTTGTGAACCAGCCTGCCCAAATCTTATGGAGGTTGAACTCAGAGGTAGGTTTGCTGTCACGAGGTCTAGGCTCAAATCTCAGCATGCCTCTAACTACTGTGAGACTGTTATGGACTGAAAATCATTTGCTGAAGCCCTAACCCCCAATGGGACTGTATTTGGAGAGAAGGTCTTTAAGGAGGTAATTAAGGTTAAGTGAGGTCATGAGGCTGGGGCCCTAATCCAATAGGATTGGCATCCTTGCAAGAAGAGAAAGGGACATTAGATAGCTCCCTCTTTGTGCCTGCCCAGAGGGAAGGCCATGTGAGGACACAGCAAGAAGGCAGCTGTCTACAGGCCTCACCAGAAACCCACCCTGCTGGCACCCTGACCTCGGACTTCTAGTTTCCAGAGAGTGAAGAGAATAAATGTCTGTTGCTGATCCTGAAAGACTAGCTTCTCCTGGTTAAAAAAATAAATAAATAAAAATGAAAAATTAAAATTGAAAAATAAAAATAAATATAAATAAATGTTGCTGCAGCCACCCAGTCTATGGCGCTTTGTAATAGTAGCCTGAGCAGATGAATTTAGTGACTTTGGGCAAATCACTTTGTCAAGGATGCCTGCCATGTTGAGGGCCCCCAGCGTCTCTGGGCATCCTACATGAAAGTCCTTCCCACCCCAGGTAGGAACCAGAACTTGCTCCTCCAGAGTCCCTGGCAGCTAGGGAGTGGCAGGGACCCAGGCTTTGCCCATTAGATGTTCATGCCATTGTCAAGGGTGACAAAGGGGGAGTCCGGCTCTTGGAGAAGCTGTGAAGAGTTTACAGGAACCAGCCCCAGGTTCATCCATGTCAACCATGGAATCTGTGCCAAATGGTGGTGTATTCAATTCCTGCGGCTGTTGGAACCAATTTCCACTAACTTGGTGGCTTCCAGCAACAGAAATGTAATCTCTCATGGTTCTGGTGGCCAGAAACCTGGAATTAAGATGTTGGCAGGGCTGTGTGCTCCCTCTGAGTTTTCTAGGGAAGAGTCTTTCTTTGCCTCTTCCAGCTTCTGGCGGTCCCAGTGTTCCCTGGCTTGTGCCCATGTCACTACAGTCTCTGTGTCCATCTCTGCATGGCCTTCTCTGTGTCTATGCTGTCTCCTTTTCTGTATCTTATAAAGGCTTGCTATTTGTTATTTGATTTAGGACCCACTAAGATAATCCAGAGCCATCTCTTTAATTACATCTGCAAAGATGATTTTCCCAAGTAAGGTCACACATATAGGTCAAAATGTAGACATATCTTTTTGAGGGCCACCATTCAACCTACCACAGACAGTGATAGTGATATATTTACTGCGGCAGCCCCCACAGCTCTTGTTTCCAGTTGTTTAGCCACATACCTGCTTCTCTGACCCTCCTGGAATTTCTCTGAGCTACCTTTAAAACATTCATGTTCTTAAGTTAGCAGAGCACTTGCCTCTTAAGCAAGAACTCTGACTTACATACTTGACTTTCAAGTTTCACTTTTCCAACTAGAAAATGCAAGAATTGGACAAAGTAACTTTTAACGTCCCTTCTTGTTCTGGTTGATTCTAGAATTATCAGTTGAGCTTGGTTCGTGGAGCTGTGACAAATCAATACCATCAATATTGGGAACTCAAATGAAGAGGGTTTTCAATGTGATCTCCATAGGGGGGCTGAGGGGAGCTGTCTCTTGCCCTTAGAGTGACGTGTCTCAAAAAACAGCAGATTGCTGGTAAACAACAATAACCTTGGAATGCAAATCTTACTCTGTGGAGTCAGATTTTTAATATTCAAGATGTTAGATAATCTCTTTATGATAATGATAAAGCTAGGCTCCAAAAATGAAATTAAGGTTGCTGATCGGCAAGAGGAGAGCCGCAAGAACCAATTGCACACAGCAGGGTGTGAGCTTTCAGAGCCACAGAAACAGGAGTGACTGTGCTCACATAAAGCTTGAAGCAGCATGCTTCAGAAAGCACACAGCGCTCAGGGCCAGAGTTATCATCCCCGCCTGGCCACCAGCCGACATGTGCCCTGCCGCCAGTCATTCCCTTTCCCTGGATCTCCATAGCTGCATGAGATGAAGCCTGAGAAAGCAATATACTGATGTACAAGGGTTAGGATTTGTGAAGTAAAAAGAACCGAAGTAGTAGCTCTCAGCAGGAACATCCTCTGGGAGAAAGGGACTCACATTTTCTCCCCGGTTTTAATTGTAAGATCAATGCCGTTTGGGTACTAACGTGCCTTCTCTTGAAAGTACTGGATCGTGCCCCATAGTGTTGAACTTCAACAAAATCAGTCATCAGATAATCCAATTTAGGTGACTCCTAACCACATAACACTATTAGAAACATCAGGGTTCAGAACTTCAACTAGCTTAAACAAAGAGAGACTTGATGGGCTCCTGTCATTGAGATCTTTGAGCTGCCTTTACACATGACCTGTTTCTTTACACATTCAGGTTTCTAGCTGTGTCTTAAGGGGAATGCCTCTCTTTCTAGGCTTTGGCTCCACTTCCTTTTGGGTTGTCTTCATTCTCAAGTGGCTGCTGCCTGTTCCAGGCTTCCCTTCAGCTCAGCATCCGCTGTGGAAAGGACACACCCCCTTCCTAAAAGCTCCAGAAAGAGTCTAGAGCTGCCTTCTGAAGGGCCTTGCTTGCCTCTGACCAGCCACCGCGACCAGAGAATGTGGCGTGCTTGTTGCCCAGGCCTGGAGGCTTTCTGCCCTGGAGCCAAAAACGAGATCAGCCCCACTCACATCACCGGACCAAGAATGGGGCCGGGTGGCTTCTCCAAAAGGCAACTACCTGGAGAGGCCAAGATGGATTCTATTATAGTTAGTAAGAGAGGATACTGCATGTATTCATTTGCTATTGCTGCTGTAACAAATTACCACAAACTTAGTGATTTCAAACAACACAAATGTATCATTTTACAGTTTGGAGTTCCAAAGTCCAAAATCAGTCTCAGTGGGCTAAAATCAAGGTGTCAGCAAGGCTGCATCCCCTCCAGAGGCTGTGGGGAAAAGGTCTGTTTCCTAGTCTTTTTCTAGCTTCTGGAGGTCAGTCACTTACATCACTTGGCTAATGGCCCATCCTCTGTCTTCAAAGCCATAATATAGCCTCCTCCCCCCACCCTCTTTCTTTCTCTCCCTCCCTCCCTCCTGCTTCCCTCTTACAAGGATTCTTGTAATTACATCAGGTCTACCCAGATAATCCAGGATAATCTCTCCATCTCAAAATCCTTAATTGGGTCATATCTGCAAAGTCTCTTTTGCCATTCAAGGTAACATAATCATAGGTTCCATGGATTAGGAAGGGAGTATCTTTTGGAGGCCACCATTCAGCCTAGCACAGTAGATGGGAAAGAACAGATGTTCTTACAGCATCTGCACCTGCTCATAGATGACAAGAGTCAATGAAGAACTGATGCTAGCAACAAATAATATGTAGCAAGAAGTTTACTAGAGTCAAGTGTGAAGATGGAAATTCAAGCCCAAACTCCACCTTTAACTAGCCCTCTTTGACTCCGTGTTTTTGTCTGTATAATGGACATGTCTGCCTCAATCAGAGTTATCATAACCAGAAGTTCATGAAAGCATGTTTACAAATGCAAACTATCATTTCTAGAATGAAAATCATGGAAAGAAATGTGGGGGATATAAAATTTCACTCACCTTTGCAGTCATTCACACCAGCCCTAGGCTATGAGGCTTCTTTCTCCAGAATAAGAAAGGCTCCCTCTAGAGCAAAAAGGTCATTCATCAGATTTGGATATTGAAGTAGCACGAGGCCAGGCACAATGGCTCACGCCTGTAATCCAGGCATGGGGTTTGGGAGCAGTTTGGGAGACCAAGGCAGGTGGATCAACTGAGGTCAGGAGTTCAAGATCAGCCTGGCCAACATGGTGAAACCCTGTCTCTACTAAAAATAAAAAAATAAAGTAATAAATTAGCTGGACATAGTGGTGCATGCCTATGATCCCAGCTACTCAGGAGGCTGAGGCAGTAGAATCGCTGAACCTGGGAGGGAGAGGCTGCGGTGAGCCAACATTGCGCCCCTTCACTCCAGTGCCGGTGACAGACCAAGACTCCATCACAAAAAAAAAAAAGGGTGGGGAGAGCGGAAAAAAAAAAAAAAAAAAGACCAGGCGCAGTGGCTCATGCCTGTAATCCCAGCACTTTGGGAGGCGGAGGCGGGTGGATCACCTGAGGTCAGGAATTCGAGACCATCCTGACCAACATGGAGAAACCCCATCTCTACTAAAAATACAAAATTAGCCAGGCGTGGTGGCAGGGACCTGTATTCCCAGCTACTTAGGAGGCTGAGGCAGGAGAATCACTTGGGAGGTAGAGGTTGCAGTGAGCCAGGATTGCACCATTGCACTTCAGCCTGGGCAACAAGAGCAAAACTCCATCTAAAAAAAAAAAAAAAAAAAAAAAAAAAAAGTAGCATGAAAGCCAGAATTTGCTAAGAGAAAAAGGATTTTCTATACTCCCCAAGGTCCTGTTGTGTGGCCGTTAGGTCATATAATGTGTTAACACATTAACAACAGCTAAAACTGGCTGCCCAAGTGCTGGTTTTACTCCAGATGTGTTGCTGTGGCTTTGGAGACATGGGAAGCCATGTGTTCCCACTCAGGGTTCTGTGGGCAGGAAAAAAGAGAAGGAGGCAGAGTGAGCAGTTCAAATGCCAGAGTTCTTGTTCCCCTTCCCCTCCCCCACCTCAGGACAAAGACATATGGATCGTAGGACCCAAGGGGCATTTAGGTTACTAGACAGTGAGACGGTCATGCTAAACTTCCCCATGTGTACCAGTGGAGGGGAGAGCATGGCAAGGAAGTCCCCATGTGGTCACATCCAGCTCAGGGTGGTAGCATTGGTGGAAGGAAGTGCCTGGCTGGCTAGATGGCCTGCCACAACCCTCCTGGCTTCCCATGGCCTGCTCGGGATGTGCAGGGCCCCAGAGAGCAAATGGCCTCCAGCAAAACCTAGAATGTATTGTGACTCAGTGGCCTCCAGTCCAGGGATGAGGGACATACATGTGTCTCTGAGGCCCCAGGCAGAAAAGGGTTAACATAGTCAGTCTGAGACCCTTGGCGGGCATCTATGAACTTTGATTTGGGGTGGGTTCTCAGCACTCCCAGAAAGGATAAGAGCAGCATGCTGCACCTGAACTCTTTGTACAAAAATGTGGTTTATGCTGAACACCTGCCTTCCTTCTGGAAGCCTGGATTTTTGGTACATCCTAGGCCACAGATGCTTACATGACCAGTCCCCAGTACAATCCTTGGACTGACTCCTAGGCTGAGTGACACTTCCTCAGGAGACAGCGTTCCATGTATGTTGTCACAACTCTTTCAAAATGAACTAAGTATACCCTGTGTGACTTCTTGGAATTTTGCGTCTGGTCTCCAGCTTTGCCCCATGTGTCTCTCCCTTTCACTGATTTTCTTTTGTATCCGTTCACCGTAATAAATCATAGCCATGAGTGTGACTATGTGCTGAGTCCCATAAACCCTCCTACCACATCTTTGGGGCTAAGCATGGTTGTGGGGATCCCCGACCCAGGTCCTTCTTCCCCTGCCTCCAAGATATCCCTCGAGTCCTCCTCTATACACCCAGCTGACCCTTGCAGAGAAGCAGGAGTGGCATGGAATCTGAACCACTGAGTGTGGAACTGAGAGACACGTCCCTTCCAGAGGTTGTGTGTATTACTAATTGGACTAAATGTTGATTTCTCTCCTTCTTACCATTCACTACATTTTTGTATACTTCTAGGTGTAATGTGAACAAACACTCAAGCCCCATGTCATTGCTATTGTAAAATGTCACCTTCTCATTATTCCCATGTGTCCACCTCCCCACTCAGCAGATGACAGGGCAATCAGTTCACCAAAGAATTGGTCTCCCCCTCATCAGGGACAGTTCCTGGGACTCCCCAGCACCAAGTTCATGCTCAGACACATCTCTTTCAACACTGACCCTATCTCTTCCCCCCTCCACCACACACACACACATATATATATACACACACATATGAAAGAAAAATAGAGAAAATCCTTTTCTCTCTTGATAAATTCTGGCTTTTCATGCTACTTCAATATCCAAATCTGATGAATGACCTTTTTACTCTAGATGGAGACTTTCTTTCTCTGGAGAGAGAAGCCTCATAGCCTAGGGTTGGTGTGGATGACTGCATATATACGGAAGATATAGGGCCAGTGTGTTTTCTGGACATTTTAACATATACATTTAACATATATGTATACACACGTCTTATATATACATCTCATATATACATATATACACATCTCATAAACACACACATATGTCTGGAGGGCTGTTTTCTTATCTGTCAGATGAGAGTGGGAATTATAAAATACCTAAATTGTTGACTATTGCACATGAAAATTGCATAGTTACGTATGTATGTCTCAGCACAGACAAATAATGTGCTAAGCATGCATTACATTCCTCAGTAGACTTATGAACTTTTTATTAAGCTTTTTTATTCATTATCCTTGATATGATCCACAAATCCTCATAAAGATATTATATTTATATATAGATTCATAAAAAATTCCCAGTTTTGGTTTGAGCATGGAGAACAAGGTTTGCGTTTGTCCAATTGAACAATAGCTGCCTTTGCTAATGATAGCCACAATACAGACTATGGGTGCCCCCTAAGTTTTTGGCTTGAGCAATTGAATAGGTGTTGCAATTTAAGGAAGTGGTAAAGACTAAGGGCAAAAAAACAAAAACAAAAACAAGATTTGGATGCAAATCAAGAGTTATCTTTTGGTTTTGCTGGAGCTGAGATGATGTTCTATATCCAGGAGGATCTATAGACAGGCAGGCAGCTGAGTATCTGAGTTTGAAGCTTGGGAGTGCGCAGGAGGCAGAGCTGAAGGCATACATTTTGAAGCCACTGTATGTAGGTTGAGATGTCTCAAGAGTCACCAGCAGCACTGTGTCCTCCAACACAGGGATGACCTTGCCTTTGTTGTGAAAGGTAAGCTTCACGTTATACCACAAATTCTTGGGGAAAAATGAAATTTTGGTAAGTCAAATTTCATTATACCTATACTGGACAAACTTGCTATTTCAAAACATCCTTTCATGAATTATTTCAAGAAGGCTAAGTTTTTTTTTTTTCTTGTCACTTTTTCTTCCTTCTTTTATTTGTTGAGTTTGTCCAAATGTTGGTATTTGGGTCCTTTTTTCAAGCATTCTTGCATTGTCTTTCCTGTAAATGAAGGTGTTAAAAAGGGATTCATACTGCTACAGTAGGTAGCTAGTCAGACATGAACAGGGCAGGAGAGGCTCCCCCACCCACCGCCAGGAATGTCAGGAGGCCATCAGGTGATGTTCAGGCGGTTGTTAACTGTTTCTCTAAAATAATAATTGGTCTAGTCAGTGCAGGGAAACACAGTCTCCCTATAGAAAGGAAAAACCTGAAACTGGTGATCAGTAGCTTCCTGATAAGATCTCAGCAGTTGGATGAGTGGACTCACACTTGTCCCTTAAGAGGCGAAGTGTTGGAGTTTAACCGGTTTTGACCTCCTAAGGGACATTCGGCTGGTAAGGGAAGACCGTCTCAAGTGAGCACAGGTACAACGCCAATGAACACACTGCGCATGCTCCGGTCCCAAGCACTGACAGGCCACTGCGCATGCGGACAGCCTATCCCATGGGAAGAATCAAAAAAGGGACGCAAGACCCCAGAAGCATGCCAACATGTAAAACCCCAAGTCAAAAGGTCAAACTTCTAAGTCGCCTGCTTGGCCCTCTTCCAAGTGTACTTTCCTTCCTTACGTTTCCGCTATAAAGCTTTTTTATTTCGAGTCGGAGTCTCGCTCTGTTGCCCAGGCTGGAGTGCAGGGGTGCGATCTCAGCTCACCGCAACGGGGATTCAAGCAGTTCTCCTGCCTTGACCTCCCGAGTAGCTGGGATCATAGGTGTACCCCCCATACCCAGCCTTTTTGTTTTGTTTTGTTTTTGTATTTTTAGCAGAGACAGGGTTTCACCATGTTGGCCAGGCTGGGTATCAAACTCCTGACCTCAGGTGATCCACCTGCCTGGGCCTCCTAAAGTGCTGGGATTATAGGCATGCGCCACCGTGCCCAGCCATCAGAGCTTTTTAGTAAACTTTCACTCCTGTTCTAAAACTTGACTCAGCCTCTCCTTCTGCCTTCTGCTCCTTGGTCAAATTCTTTCTCCTAAAGAGACAAGAATTGAGGTTTCTACACACCCCTACGGATTCGCCTCTGGTAACATCCCAACCTAAGAACATAAGCTTCATCAGGCCAGGGGCCTCAGCTGTTTTGTTTAAAGTTAATTCTCCACACTGGCATAGAGTAGGTAGGTACTCCATAAATATTTTGTTAAGTAAATGAATGAATGAACTTATCAATTCGTTTTTCTCAATACATTTGAAATTGAATTTATCAATTTGTTTTATCATCAGTATTCCCGAACTTCCTCCGTGGATGCGGCTGCTGTCTTTGGACAATCTCTTTGCTGCTGAGATAAGGAAACAACTCTTTCCTGAGGCCTCATCAGGAGAGAGGGAAGAAGACTTCAAAGGAAGCTTTGACTTCACTGCCTGAAGTAGGAACTGGCTCTAAAGGAATGAGGAAGAGAAAGATCAGGCAGGTTTTTGCAGCCTATGCTACCATGCTGTCTGGAAGTTTCTGAGCTGGGTCTCGGTGGCAGCTGCAGCTCCTGGGCAGGGTGGGCTGTAGCAGTCAAGGTTGGTCTCCTTCCTAGGTCTGCCCCTTACTGGCTGTGTCAGT